CAATTGTATGAGACAGAGTTTCCCAAACTATGGGTCCCGAGCCACTGGTGAGTCGCGAGCGAAAATTGAGTGGGTCCCGCCTGTAGGACGACACACTGAGCCACCTGGCCGGACGTTTTGAATTGAATCAAATTGAAATAATATTGAAATAACCTTTTTTTTCGGTGTAATAAATTAATTAAGTAATAAAAAAATGATAAAACCCTTAACGATTAAATTTCATTGAGGTGGGTCTTGAGTTGTTGAACTTTCATTAGATAGGTCGTTTCGTAGCCCAGGCAACTTTGGGAACCGCTGGTATAAGATTTTATAAGTACTTGTTATTACTAAATCAAAACACAATACTAATCGATTTAAACTTTTAAACAATAAATGTAAATGTAACTAGCAATATTAATTTTAACACTGCACTAGAGATCTCGTCAGGAATGCTCGCGAATATTCCAATCCTTCTAATGACATTGACAGCTGTCAGCTCAGAACGTGACGTTTATGCCGACAATCTAGTGTGGCATCAATTCTAGAGCACGGTACTAATTTTCTTCTTAACAAAACAGTGGAATAGATAGACAGTTTTGTACCCAAATCCTCTTTGTGGCTCCTGCTTTGTTATATCAATAAGAAACAGTATTCGAGATCTAATTTCTTAAAACAATACAGCTGAGACCTAATATGTTAGTTTATATCTGAAGTTGTGGAATTAATCCGGTTGTCAGATGAGGTTGGCTCAATGTGTAACGAAACAATAATATAGATCCAACAATGACCGTTTGTTCAGTCTAAGGGTACTCATTTAGACCTATTAGCAATAACTCAATGTATTAATTTGTGTCTTCAGAATTGATGAATTTTAGATAAATTGAGATGAAGGAAAGAATAAACGTAAAAAAAGGAATCGAGATAGAATGTTGACTAGAGGAATACTTAGCGTTTGACGACGTTTACTAGCTAGGGTTTTAAGATCGATTTAAAGTGATATTTAAGTTATTAAGACGGCGTTTATCAAACTATTTAGTGTAAATAGTTGTATTCTTTTAGCGTTATGCGAAATGAGTAGAATAACACTCCCGCTCGTCCTTCAATAGTTATTAACTTGAGAACCAAGGTACCTTCTTTCATGTCTAGATTTTAAGTGTACAAAGCATAATTGTAAAGCGATTACATCTTGAATAATCCTAGTCATTGACTTATTAGAATCTAACAGAAAAACATCATCTTAAATTTGTAATATATTGCGTTTTATGTAGGTTCGTGTAACCTAACGTCAGTTGTTTTAATAAATCCGTTTGAGTACAGCTATTAAGTGCATTTTTATGTGGTATTTTAAAATGTGACGAGTAAAATTTGTCCTCTACTATCGAAGCGCAGCATGTGTATTGTCGGTCCGTGTCTATTAATAATTGTTCGCAAGGAGCGCACACCGCTGCGGCGCGATCACATCCGCGACGTGCGCAGATGCCCTAACACTCTTTGATGTGCCGACAAATATGATGCTGACATTCAACCAAATGAGAACTTGTTATAAAGATGTTACACGTTTTTTTATGCCAGTACTTCAAACATGATTTATGACTAAATTTTTCTTCCACAAGTACTGTTACATCGATCTTTTTTTATACCCCGAGGAGAGCCCTTCGAGTACCTGCTGCTGTCTCTAATGCAGCAATCTTGTTATCGTTAGGTTATTTTTAAAGCAATCTATGAGTTTTAACCGTTAACTTGGCAGAATTTTATTTTTTCGAATATCAAAATAATATTCATAGTACTTAACCTTGATGACCCAAGGTGTTTAGATAAAAAAATTGATGTATCTCTACAGATACACTAACAAGAAAAGGGTTAACAAAATGTTTAACTACTTATTATGACAATAAGTAGTTAAATTCAATTTAATTATAATTCTGATTACCATTAACATTAATAAATAAATAACATAAATAAAAACCAATTTCATTAGCATAATAACTGCGAGAATTTAAATGGACGGATGCCTGTGTCAGTCTGTAGCCCAAACGGCTAAGACGATCTCGATGAAATTTGATGAAATTTGACATAAACGTAATGGACAGTCCGGAAGAACATCGATGTTAGAGAATTTAAATTTCTAATTGTTACAGGTAAGGACATTAATGTAACTATTATTTAAAGTAAGATTTCTCAGCTCACAGATAAAGTAAAATTTAGCTTTAAAAAAACTTAAGAACCTTTTTATACGTGTACTAGCTACTGTAATATATATTCAATTTTTTTTATAAAGATGTCAAAGTAATCAAATAAATAAAAAAGTTAGAAACCACGTGAACACATTCAAAAGCTTTTAATATCCAAGGTAATTAAATTGAACAAAACCGTAGCTTTAACTTTAATAGGTTAAGTTACAAAGACTATCGTCCACATCAAATTAGGCTCCGGGGGATGGTCTATAAAATCATTGCAACAACCTAACTCACTAAAGAGCAATTTGTTCTTCCCACGGCGAAGTTTTAAATTCCGATTGTTCTTCGGAAAGCTTTTCATGTCAAGAGCTCGATTTACGTGATAAAAAATGTAAACATACTTCAAGCTTTTAAAAAGAACTTTCTATTCACTTAACTGTAGTAGGAATTTACGCTACTTTTTAAAATTTAAAATCTATGTCTATACATCTATAGTGATATTATAAAGAGGTAAGATTTGTATATTTGTACGTATTGAAGTAATTTAAAAACTATTGGGCCGATTTTAAAAAATCTTTCACCGTTGGAAAGATAATTTATCAGTAAGTAACGTAGGCTGTTTTTGCAGATATTTTTAATTGCGTTTAGGTTTATTTTAGGATATGATCCCCGACAATAGTTAAAAAGATTTGACCCCATGACCACGAGGTCAGATATACGTCAACTTAAGGCATTTAGTAGACTAAAGTTTTGCTAATATTTTTAATGGTAGTAATTAAATTACGATAATATAAGATTTAAAACTTTGGTTAATGGTTGAATAATGTTTGTTTTGTTTCTATGGCTTTCGTAGAATTTCTACTCTTTATTCTATTACCCAGTCTATGTACTAGCCGTACATATGTACACGTTAGTCACAGGTGCTTTTAGTCTTCATAGAGTAATTACTTAGTCTAATCTATTTCTTCTATCAAGGATACAATCTATCACAATGCTAATAACAATTTTCATTCTTCGTCTTTGTTAGATAATGACTAGGTCATTGTCTGTTATATCCTTGGAAATGTTGAATAAGAATCTATACACATAATTAAATTGAAGTGTCTGTAATATAAGAAGAAAAATCTTTTTGTCTGTTTGTTTGTCCGCAAGCCGCGTTTGTTCTGGGTAATCTCTGAAACGGCTGAGCCGATTTTGACCGGACCTTCACTGAAGGGTAACTGGTATAGACAGGAAGGTTTTTATCTTAATATTGCGAAGACGAAATCGCGGACAACAGCTAGTATTACATAAAAACATCATTTTTCATCATAAAGTATATCACATATGTACAAGACGGGACTTTCAGTGATGATTTCTTATGTTAAATCTTACTCTAGAAAGGTGACAAATATACTCGTTTGCTTATTAATCCATATTGGTCAACGTACCATGGTTTAAGCAAATCACAGACAGCTGAAGTTATTATTGATTCAAAATTCTCAGGTCAAGGTCGTGCGCGGATCGTATTAATGAGGGCGATAATAGACCGACCTCTATAACAATTAAAAGAAGACAATTCAATAGTCGTTCATAACATAATGACGGTCATGTTTTTTAAAATGCTGCTAGTTATCATAGGAACGACAAAGCTAATTATGCAAAAAACAGTTTGACTAAGTACTTGTCGCTGCCCTAGTGTATGTATTTATTACTAGTTGTTTCTCGCGAATTCGCCGGCGTTTAATTAAAAAAATATACCCTTTGTTACTCACAGATAAAATACCTTTCTAACGGAGGTAATTTTATAAATCGTCCCAGTAGTTTTTGAGTTATTTCAATACATACAAGAATGAAAATTTTTCTTTATTTTAATATTATTAGTGTAGATTGTTGAATCTTTGTAGTAAAAGAAATAACAAACCTTAATCAAATGTGTTTCTTGATTTCCTTACGCGGATTATTGAAGTGTCGTAACGTTTGCAATAACAATTATTAGAGGCGTTACATGGCCGTGAAATATCAAATAATCATTGACAATTATTTACTTATACGATTTCGTAACGTGATATTTATTTATGTAATTTATTATACGATTTACGTAGCTTAATAATTAGTATGAATAACTGTTACCTAGTCTATTCTCGAAACATTTAAAAAATACTGTAATTTTACGGTAATAAGATTTGTAATCGAATAATTGAGAAAGTAATCTTACTTCTTACTAATCTTACTAATATTATAAATGCGAAAATTTAAATGAATAGATGGATGGATGTTTGTTAGAGTTTGCAGCCTAAACGGCTGAACGGATCTCGATGAAATTTGGCATAGATGTAGAGGATAGTCTGGAAGGACATATAGTCTATTTACTTTTGTATTTCTAAACTCCTCGCGGACGGAGTCGCGGGCAAAAGTTAGTAGATAAGATACTATTTTAATTTAGCGACAACACAGGATTCAATATTTAAAAGTTTATTGAAATACACTTATTGTGATAAATGAAATATAAGACAGAGATAAGATTGTTTCTTTTACGCAAACATCAACAAAAAAGATAAATTTAAAATATTACAACAGCAACTTTCAATATCCGGTAAACGGTATGGGCTTTACTTTTGTTATAAAACAAAATTAAATCACGAAGAGTAAAAAACATCTAATAAATGAGTGTTGCATTTTTATCTTTTTCGTATAGAGACAATATTAAATTTTATGAAAATAAAACTTCGTTCATTTCATGATTGATGAAAATTGCAACCTAAAGTAAACATTAACTACAGTAGAATAACAAAAAACAAATGTGAAGCAAAACAACGTACAAATTATAATGTAACAATATTAATGAACATGCAACAAAATTACCGTTTCGCTGAATATGAAGTTGCTATTTCGATGCGTTCCTTATTCGTGCACAACTTCCGGCCGCTGGCCGCAGGATGCCGCCAGTCAAAACAAACTCACTCCTCACCTACGTTTCAAACTCTAATTGTTTTTCAAACACTGCGTGTTAACAAAAGTAAGAATTACGTGCTCGTGTGTTTCTACAATCACTGTGTTTATAAACCACGTCAAAGCCAGAGAATGATAATTCAAAATTTATCTCTAAATAATAGTAAGTCGAATAAAGTCACTGAAATAAATCATTAAACACATTTAGACTTGAGTATAATAATGTTTGATTAAAGTTAGAGTATTATATTTCGAATCGATGTTATTTACGCGATGCCGCGTAAAATTAGAAGTCAGTAATCGTACACGACCGCCCT